CAAGGTCATTTAAATATGAAAATGGAAGGAGGTCAGAAAATAGAAGATTGATGGGAATGATCTGCAAATATTTTTTCCACAAAGCTTTTTTTTTTTCACAATTAAGGTCAGTAAAATTATTAGGTAGTTAGATACTAACATTACATTCCCATATGTGCTTATAGAAGGAATAACTATAGCTCATTATGTAGATATAGATAGATTTAAATGCATAGATACAAATCATAGACAAACAACATAAATGGATGATTAGGGATCTAAAAGTTAAACAGGAAGACGATAGCATGCTAGATTTCCTTTAAAAAAAAATGCAAAGCTCCACTAATGACTAGCAATTTCTAGCAGAAACAAAGGTGCATCTACTTAATACCAATAGTTTATCTGTGCTATATAGTTTCAAGTCACTAAACACAACATTCTCTGAAGAGCTAAACATGATTGCTTCTCATAGGGAGAACACAATAAATAAGGAAATATTAATAAGAACTGGAGAAAAGGATGTCATCCAGGGAATATATTATGGAAAAGGGATATTGGCTGATAAGAAAGCAAGAGAAAGGGATAAATGATAGATAGCTTGCATGCTTCAGTTATAATTTCAGGGGAATATCCTATGGACATACTATTATTATCCCAATTTTATAGATAAGGAACTAAGGCAAAGAAAGGTTAAATGACAGACAGTGTCTGAGGTACTATTCAAACTCAGGTTTTCTCAATGCTCAATCAGATAGAGTCTATATAACAGGGGATGAAAACCTATGGCCTCAAGGCTCCATGTGGACCTCTAGGTCTTCAAGTGTGTCCCTTTGACTGAATACAAACTTCATCAAAGGGGCACACTTGAGAACCTAGAGGGCCACATGGAGCCTCGAGGCCACCTGCTTAAAGGTCTAGAGAATTGCATACAATCAAGTTGTCCTGGATGGAAAGATGTGGGTAGTTTACAAGCTGTATCATCAAAGGAAATGAAATTGCAGATCCATTTGGGAATGTGAGTATGAATGACAACTAATTTGATTTAATTTCTTGTTATGCGTTGGGTTTTTCATTTTATGTAATTCTACCTGTAGTAGTATTATTCCTGATATTTACCAACCAGACCCATCCAATAAACTTCATTGTAAAAGTTCTTTATAATTTATTCTAGTTGAGAACAGGTGTGTTTTTAAATGTCAAATAGTTATATTTGAAATAATGTAATATAATGGCCCCACTTTCATCTTCATCATAGAATTAAATAGTAATTAAAATTAAATTCGACAATATTTTATCCCTTCAGTGGATTTTGTCCTATTGATCCTATCATCTTGATTCTTTTGGATAGTATATGAACATTTTTAATCAAACAAACAAATGCAGATGCATGCACAGGAATTTTGCACTATTTTGGACACACGTAGCTGTCAGGAATAAAAACGCATGTAGTCAGCCGCAAGACCATGACCAGCTAGGGGTGAGACATCCTCAAATAAATTTTCTCTGCAAATTGCCAGTCTAATTATGACCCAGAAAATGATGAATGACTCCTGTATGGGCCATGAGTTCATAAGGTAGCTTAAATGTATATGTATGCATGCGTGCATGTATGTATGTATGTATGTATGTATGTATGTATGTAAATATATACACATATATGTACATGTGTATGTTTGTATACACACATAGCAACATTTCAGAGATCAAATTATGCTGTAGACATTGAAATAGACGTCAGAGGAAGAAATGGTGAGGAAGCCGACTACAATGCCTTTTCTGAAGCAGACAATAAATGAAAAGACTGATGCAAATCTATTTTGATCTTTCCAGTAAATAAGAAATTGAGGGAAAATAATTTTGATAAATTTAAGACTTCATAGGATTATAAATATCTCAAAATTATTTTGATACTGTATAGAATTCATAGAAAGTATTTCTACAGGTAAGTAGATTCAAGAACATTATTTTAACATTTTCCTTTCATCCAAGCCCATACGTCTAGAGGGACAAGTGTTCTTTAAGTTATATATTTGTTTTCTTTTTTAATTAGGCATGATCAATTGGAAGCTACCTGGCTTAAATACAGTAGTTTGGTTTGAGGGAGGGGTTGAATGGGAGAAAAAGTGTTTCAGTAGTCTTATATCCCAGATTATTTCACATCCAGATCCATAAGAAAGTATCTGAAAGTGTCTTCCTCCTCTCTCCATATCATTGGTTTTGGATTATATCCATCACCATGGAAAGTTTCTCTTTGTAAGAATGGGAGTTCCAGGGACTGAAATCCAAGGAATGTCTCAAGCCTGTAATGAAAATAAATGTATATAGTGCTATGCTTTGGGGAAATAATGTCTCTTAGGTGCTCACAGTATGCCTAGAATGACACACCCAATTTCCATCAAGCTCGGAGAATATTAATGCCCGTATGAATTTGTTTCACTCAGGCACACACATTTGAAATAGAGGCATTCCAAAACTTCATATTTATTTTTCTAAACCCATGTTAATTTCTTATTTATTTCAGGCATTACTAGAGACTCAAAATTTACTGCGCACTCAGGTTGCAAATTTTACCTTCAACCTTGGATTTTCAGGGAAGTTTTACCACACAGGTAAGAAGGAACTTTGTGCTCTCAGGCAGCTACAAATAGGTCATAGGACTTTAAACATAACACTCCATAAGCAGAAAGAGAATAGCTGCAGTTTTAATGGGGAGGGCCTGTTCTCCTTAAAACAAGGCAATCTTGGCTCTGAAGCCAGAGCGGATTGTCTACTTTGGCAGAGAAGCTCTTAGCATTGAGGCCTAGAGGGGCACAGTGGTAATGATTCTTCTAGAGTCAAAAAAACCACGGCCACTATTCTGTGCACAGCTGTATGACTTGTCTTTCTAGGCATATTCGAAGTGAAAAGAAATGTAAAAAGAACATAGTGTCTTTAAGATATCAGAGGTGATAGATATTCTTATAAATTTATCTTGAGAAAACAGTTGGTAATGGGGTAAGGATTTATAGACTCAAAGAAATTGAATGGGCCTAGAAGGTCATATAGTCTATCCTGCATTTGTGCATATAGTTACTCCTCTCACATGTCATCTCTACTTTTTACCAGCCTACATTGAAATGAATGAGTCTTTTCAGCCACAGTCACTCTCAGCATTCTCAAAATTCTCTGTTTCTCTCTGTCTCTCTCTCTCTTCCCCCTTCCCTCCCTCCATCCCTCTCTCCCTCCATTTCTCTTTCTGTCTTTCTGTCTCTCTCTCTCTCCACATTCCAACTGAATGTCCCTCTTACCCTCCATTCCTTCCTACTACCACATCCACTTAGCCTCCAGAATTTAACTTCTGTGATCTGAACATTAGCAATCTAATTTCTGGAGCTGCTGTAGAGAAGTACTGTGTATGTGGATAGTATCAAGTGACTCATAACATTTTCTGAAATAGAGCAAGACCATCAGTGATTATATTGAGGTATTTCTTACAATTTGTAGTCAACAATGCATCTGGGTTCAGAGCTCTGTGTTTCATTTATAAGCTCACATTGTTATTTTATCATGTTAACTTAGTGGAAACATTTCAGTGTTTTTCATGCTTGCATATAATTTATGGACTCATTATAAATAACACATGCAAAGGTATTCTTTAATTGCCATATTTGCAGCTTATTTTCCCAAAGAGGCTTTTAATATAAACTGTTCAATGTGGTTTATTACAAGACTGAAGAATATTATATTGCCCTTTCTCTTATGCCTTTATTTTTCTCCTTTGAAAATCTTAAATCCATTTAAAACAATTATGGTGAAATTATTATTTGGCTTTTAAATAAATTAAATATATGTGCATAAATGTATATGTATATATATGTATGTATGTATGTGTGTATGTATATATACACACACACACACACACACACACACACATAAAATGCTATTTTACCTACAAGGATGTAAGCTGTCATATCTTCACAGGCCATGAGAGCTTATTAGAATCTTGAAACTAGGAATTTTTTAAAGAAATTGCTGTTCTGAAATATTCTCTTAAGGAGATAATAGTTTAGGGTTAAGAATATCTGACTCTAGAACTAAAGGCAAAATCTATTCATGCAAAATGAAGGGAGGATCAGAGCAGATCCCTTTCTTTCTCTCCATCTCTTTTCCATTCTCTGTCTCTCTGTGTCTCTGTCTCTTTCTTCCTCTCTCCTCACCCTTCCCTTGTCACATACATGCAAATTCACCTTCAAAAGGCTAGCCTACTTCCTTTGACCTTAATTATCTGTATATTTCAAGCAAAACTGAACTTTTGTCACCTCATTCATTTTTGATTTGTACACATTTTCTGGGTATTCACAACTCTCTACCTTAATAATTTGTTAGGTAAATACTGTTTATTTGTTATCTAGCTATCATTTTCCAGGCAAAGTGTATATATCTATATATATATCTATATATATATCTATATATATATGTATGTATGTATGTATGTATGTATGTATGTATGTATAGCATACTTCTACCGGTAAGTCATAAAAGCATCAAGAAATGCCTGGTCTCCAGGACTGAGGGTTATTATTTCAAATCAAAGGTTCAGATCCTGTATGATTATGACTGCAACCTATACTTTATATGCTTTCCTACTCACTAAATAATAGTTTTACTCAAAGGGAAAGAGTAATACACATCTGAAGCCTTTACAGTTTCCTCTGTGCTTTATAGCAAGGACTTGTGTATGTGTGTGTGTGTGTGTGTATGGTGGGGCAGCTAAGTGACACAGTGGATAGAGTGCCAGTCCTGGAGTCAGGAAGACTATTCTTCCTGAGTTCAAATCTGGCACCAGACACTTACTAGCTGTGTGACCCTGGGCAAGTCACTTAATGCTATTTGCCTCAGTTTCCTCATCTGTCTAATGGATAAGGAAATGGCAAACCACTGTAGTATCTTTGCCAAGAAAACCCTAAATGGGGTCACGAAGAGTCAGACATGACTGAAAAATGACTGAACAGCAGCAAAATGGATACCTGTGCCAGTCTGGTAGATGAAACCTTTGGATTTCTCCTCAAAATAAGGTTTTAAATGCATAAGATACAAATACATAGGATAACAAAGAAAACCAATTATATTGAATTATGTTATCAGTTTTTTAAGTTCATGTACCTTAAGTTAAGAACCCCTTTACTGGAGTTAAAGGCTACAAATTTAAGAAGGTTTTTTTTTAACATTGTAAGTAAACGCTCTTAGCTGATGTACAGTTTATACACTAATAATTTGTCTTTCACTTGCACTATAGGAAATTGTGAAATTATTCCCATCTGCTTTATTATCCCAAGTTCTAACCTTCCACACTTATTTTCTTTGATCACATTTAGATTAAATATGAATTGCAGTTAACCAGACCCATACTAAAACAAGGAACATTAAATCAACAGAGGTAGTTTATGTTTGTACAATTCAGATGTGAGGATGAGAATCAGATTTATTGAATTATTTATAGAATTGTTTTTTTCTGGTGTCTGTGAAAATAAAGCAACTATCATTTATGCTGAACAGAAAAGTATCCAACCTTGAATAAAAAATGTAATTGTTGAAAAGTACTTTTAAAAGCTAGACAACCTTATTCAAATCTTATGTGCCTTATCACATGAATAACCATATTTAAGTATCTTATGGGTCAACACAGGGAAAATAAATTTGACATGTTCTGGTCCCAAAGAGCAGACAAGGAGTGAAGGGTGGAAACTGAAAAGTGCATATTTTAAGCTTGATGTCGAGAAAATGTTTATCGCAATGAGTTATGCAAAAGTGGAAAGGAAAGCCTCCAGAGGTAAGAGGTTCTTCCTAATTGTAAGTCTTCAATTAAAGACTGAGGGGCTAGTTTTCAAGCATGTTTAAATGGAATTTCCTTTTAGGTAGAATTTTAACTAGATGAACACTACAGTCCCTTTTAACTGTCAAATTCTGTGCTTCTGTGAGCCTAGGCTATTTATTTCAAGCATAGTTACTTTTGCATTAGCTTCTCTTTAAGGAGTAAATGATACCAGGTAAATATTAATTTTTAAAAAGTCAATTCTCCAGATAAACAAAGATGTTATCTCTGTCAAGGGCATCACCATCCACATCCTTTGAGATCCCTAGGTTCACAAACTCTTTGTCATTATTGACTCCTCACTTCACCCACTGTATCAAATTAGTATACGAATCTTGTAATTACCACTTCCCAAAATCTTTCAAATGTATCTCTACTCTTATACTCATCGCCCTGCTGCAGACTACACGTTTTCACCTACACTACAGGGTAAAACAATAGCCTCCTACTTGGTCTCCCTGTGTCAAATCTTTCCCTACCCCAATCTGTTCTACACATAGCTAGCAAAATGAACACTTTTTATTTTCTTTATTTTTAAAATTTCTTTATTTTTAGTTTTCAATATTCACTTCCACAAGATTTTGAGCTCCAAATTTTGTCTACATCTCTCCCCTCCCCCCTACCCCAAGATAGCCTGCATTCTGATTAACCCTTCCCTCAGTCTATCCACCCTTCTATCATTACCGCTCCTTCTCTTATCCCCTTCCACTTCTATTTTCCTGTAGGGTAAGATAGATTTCTATACCCCATTGCCTCTGTATCTTATTTCCCAGGTACATGTAAAAACAATTTTTAACATTTCTTTTTAAAACTTTGAGTTCCAAATTCTCTCCCTTCCTCACTGCCCACCCACCCTCATTTAGCAAGCAATTCAATATAGGTTATACATGTGTAGTCATGCAAAACCTTTCCTTAATAGTTATGTTGGGAAAGAGTAACTATTTCCCTCTATCCTGTTCCACTCCCCCATTTATTCTATTGTCTCTTTTGACCCTGATCCTCCTCAAAACTGCTTTTGATTACTCCCTCCCCTAATTTGCCCTCCCTTCTATCACACACACCCTTTTTCTTATTCCCGTCCCTCCTACTTTCCTGTAGGGTAATATAGATTTCTATACCCACCTGAGTGTGTATGTTATTCCTACATTAAATCAATTCTGATGGGAGCAAGGTTCACTTTTTCCCTCTCACCTACCCCCTCTTCCTCTCCACTGTAAAAGCTTTTTCTTGCCTCTTTTATGTGAGATAATTTACTGCATTCTACCTCTCCCTTTCTCCTTCCCCCAGTACATTCCTTTCTCACTCCTTAATTTTAATTTTAGATATCATCCCTTCATATTCAACTCACCCTGTGCTCGCTCTCTCTCTCTCTCTCTCTCTCTCTCTCTCTCTCTCTCTCTCTCTCTCTCTCTCTCTCATATATATATATATATGTCTGTGTTTGTGTGTATTCCCCCCAAATACCCTGATAATGAGAAACGTCTCATGAATTGCAAATATCATCTTTCCATGTAGGAATGTAAACAGTTCAACTTAGTAAGTCCTTTATGATTTCTCTTTCCTGTTTACCTTTTCATGCTTCTCTTGAGTCTTGTATTTGAAAGTCAAATTTTCTATTGAGCTCTGTTTTTTTTCCTCAAGAATGCATTAAATTCCTCTACATCATTTAGTGTCAAATTTTTCCCCCTCATTGATTACACTCAGTTTTGCTGGGTAGGTGATTCTTGGCTGTAATCCTATCTCCTTTGACCTCCAGAA